CACTAGTTAGAGACGGGAATGTATTTGCATACAGAAAATGACGAAAACACTCAACCATTTAGAGAAAATGCGCCGGGCAGAGAGAACCGGAAGTTGCGAAGGCAAGTGTTACCCATAATGCAACGCAAAATTCAGTCGCTCCCCCGCCCATCGGATGGAATTTTGGGAGAGCAGAACGCCCGAATTCAAGCAGGCTACCCAGAAAAAAGTCCCATAGATCTCGACCTCAGCTGACAGAGAACCGACAGCTTTCATAAAGATCGGATTTTGTGGGGATTTTAGTGTCCCTTGCCATCCTGAACTTTTTTTCTTCTTAAATCCTTTGGTTTTCTTTAAGTCCACACTTTACTGCCACAAACTCTGCTCCTTTCCTTCCCGCTCTGACTCCGCTCTACCAATACTCTGATCAGCAGCTGTGATTGGTCAGAGCGCGGCCGAGCCCCTCTGTGCACGTGCATGAGAGCCACGCACGCGTATTTGGCGCAAAGCATCATGGGAGCTTGTCCACTGCGCAGAACCGGGAGGACCAGACGATGCCCAAATATAGCTGAAATCCGCTGATATGTCAGCGCCCGTGAGGTCCCATGCGCTACTGAGCACCAGCCATTCATTTGAATAGGGCGCCGTCTTGGATCACTGGGGCTTGGACAAAATTTACAAAAAGCAAAACAAAAGTCAATAGTACAGCATAAGTAACACAAAGTCTTTTCAGTTTCCATGTAAACCCCAGCAGATGGATTGCATTAGTGATCAGTGTATTCTGGCGACAAAAGTTAGATGACAGTAATTGTAATGATTTGTATTAGACGACTTACATTGCGTAATACACACACTCCCTTTAAATGTGTTGATGTGATTATATTTAGCTATAATTAAAACAATGGCAGTCTTGACATAGATGAATCCACACACAACATACAGTACAGCAGAAAACAAAAAGCCCCTTTGTAATTGGTACAGTGCAATACTATGTTAACGACTTACTCCGGGCTAATGAAGCTCTTTGCCCTCTCTGTTCTTTCTGCCTTTCACTCCGTCAGTCTCCTGCCAACCTTTAAAGCCATTATGTGATTAGCCAGAGATCGACCTGACAGATAGAAAACTGCAGTATCTAATGAGCTATCAGTCAGACAGCAGCCCACACACCGCACACAGGAGCAGGTTAAGTATGGCCCAGTAACAACACATCTCATTGGGTTTTCTCTCAGCTTTCAGTCAATACAGAAACATTCTCGGTTACACATGGGCTAATTAGATACAACGATTAGGAAAGTGTTGGTCTGGCTCGCACAGGCTGTTCCAATAAGTTATAAAAAGTAGCAATGTGTATATAAGGCAAGGCAAGGCAAGGCAAGTTTATTTATATAGCACAATTCATACACAAGGCAATTCAAAGTGCTGAACAAAACAAGAAAGCATTAAAATCATAAATTATCACAGAACATTAAAAAGAAAGATAAAAATATAAAATCCCTCAGTTGTATGCACAGTTAAACAGAACCGTCTTTAACCTGGTTTTAAACATTGTCAGAGAGGAGGCCTGTCTCACATCTTCAGGAAGACTGTTCCAGATTTTAGCAGCATTAATCTGAAAAGCAGCCTCCCCATGTTTAGTTCTGACTCTGGGCACTAACAGGAGTCCAGTCCCTGTGCTCCTCAGAGTCCGGGCTGGTTCATATGGGACTAACATGTCACTAATATATTTTGGTGCGAGGCTATGGAGAGACTTGTACACAAGCAGAGCTGTTTTAAAGTCTATTCTCTGAGCCACAGGAAGCCAGTGCAGAGACCTGAGGACTGGACTAATGTGGTCGTACTTCCTGGTTCTTGTCAGGACTCGAGCTGCTGCATTTTGAATGTACTGCAGCTGTTTTACAGCCTGTTTGGACAGACCTGTGAGCAGGCCATTGCAGTAGTCTAACCTACTGGAGACAAATGCATGGATAAGAATCTCCAAGTCTGCTTTAGACACTATGTTTTTGATCCTGGCAATGTTTTTTAGATGGTAAAAAGCTGCTGATGTTACTGATTTGATGTGGCTATTAAAATTTAAGTCTGAGTCCAGTATTACCCCTAGATTTCTGACCTTGTTTGAAGGTTTTAGGGAGAGAGACTGTAGGTGACAGATGACGCTCTCTCTTTGTTTCTGGGGACCAAAGACAATCATTTCAGTTTTGTCTGCGTTTAGCTGAAGGAAGTTGTTTTGCATCCACTCACTGATCTGTTGGATACAGTGAAGGAGTGAGTCCACTGGTCCATGTTCTCCTGCAGTCAGTGAGACATAGATCTGTGTGTCGTCTGCATAGTTATGATAGGAAACTTTGTTTCTGCGTATTAACTGACCTAACGGCAGCATGTAGAGATTGAACAGAAGAGGTCCCAGGATCGACCCCTGTGGTACTCCACAGGTCAGGGCCATATGATCTGAGACACAGTTTCCAATCTCCACAAAGTACTTCCTGTCTTCAAGGTAAGACCTAAACCAACTTAGGGCGGTGCCAGTGACGCCAACCCAGTCCTCTAGTCTCTGTAAGAGGATCTCATGGTCGACGGTGTCAAAGGCAGCACTTAGATCTAACAAGATTAAGATTGAGACTTTGCCTGCGTCAGTGTTCAGCCGGATATCGTTTGTAACCTTAACGAGAGCAGTCTCAGTGCTGTGGTGGGGTCTAAAGCCGGACTGAAACATATCAAATGAGTTGTTGATTATAAGAAATCTAGTAAGCTGTAGGTAGACAACTTTCTCAAGGACTTTCCCCATAAATGGCAGATTTGAGATGGGACGATAGTTGTTAAGTACAGTGGCATCCAGACTGCTCTTTTTTAGCAGGGGCCTGATGACTGCAGTTTTCAGGGCCTTTGGGAATATTCCAGAATGAAGGGACATGTTTACTATCTGTGTGAGTGAAGGTAACAGACTGCTCAGAACAGACTTCAGAAATCTAGTGGGTAGTACATCCAGGCTGCATGTGGAGGAGCTCAAACTGGAGATTATCTCTTGGACAGTTTTATCATTTACAGGTGCAAAGTGAGTTAGCTCAGAGAGCCTTTCTGGCTGTTGGATGGTTATCTGTGGATTGGAGACAATGGCGCTTTTGATGCCTTGAACCTTGTCATTGAAAAAATTAGCAAACTCATTGCATTTACGTTTGGAAGTAAGCTCTAATGGCATTTGAACAGGGGGGTTTGTTAATCTATTAACTGTTGAGAACAGAACACGCAGATTGTTGCTGCAGCCTTCAATCATTTCAGAAAAATACCTTTCTCTCGTACTACGTAGCACCCGGTTAAACTCGCACAACTTATCTTTGAAGATCTCGTAATCTACCTGGAGGTTGGACTTGCGCCACTTCCGCTCGGCCCTCCGGCACTTTCTCTTTTGTGCCCTGACCGAGTCTGCTTTAGCCCACGGCGCCTTCTGCTTATTTTTCACTATTTTAACCTTCACAGGGGCAACGGTATCCAGAACATTCAAAACACTAGAGGTGACAGAGTTAAACAGTTCATCTACAGTAGAATACGATGCATTCTCAAAGTTTATCATTTCCATAAATAGTTCACTCGTATTTTCATTTATGCGCCTTCTTCGAACAGTTGCAGAGTCCACTGGTGGTTTGTTAGTGAAACACATGTCAAAAAAAACACAGAAATGATCCGAAAGAGCAACATCGACCACGTTTACATTTGAAATAATCACCCCCTTTGTAACTAACAGATCTAGAGTGTGCCCTCTGCTGTGGGTGGGGCCACTTACGTGCTGAGTGAGATCAAAGGATTCAAGTACAGAACTCAGCTCATTTGCATTTCTGTCATCAACATTATCCACATGAATATTAAAATCACCTGTAATAACCAAACTATCAAAATCTGTGCATACAACTGAAAGCAACTCGGTAAAATGATCAATAAAACTGTGACATGACTGCGGTGGCTTGTATAGGACAACGAAGAGTATTGGAGGAGATTGTTTTTGTTGTATTTTAAAAGACACATATTCAAATGACGAAAACTTCCCAAGAGACATTCTATGGGAGACAAAGTGGTCTCTAAAAATGGCAGCTAAGCCTCCTCCTTTTTTGTTTTCCCGTATTTCAGATTCAAACTTGAAATTTGGTGGTGATGCTTCTATTAAAACTGCATTTTCTGAATTTTGGTCAAGCCAAGTTTCAGCCATGAACATAAGATCAAGATTATGAGAAGAAATAAAATTATTGATTAAAAAAGACTTGTTACAAAGAGATCTGACATTAAGCGTAGCAAGTTTCAAAGTTTCAGTATCAGCGGTTGCGGTCGGCTGATTCTTACACGGAACAAGAATTAGATTTTCCAGATTAGACTGATTAACTCCAGATGTTTTTCTGTAATGTATTCTTTGTGTTATCACTAAGGGAATGGCACAGGTGGCTTCATGACAGGGCCCCAGCCGGGTCTCTCCTCTAACTAGACTGCCAGTGGCTGCGAAGCAGAGACCCTGTGCATCCTAGTGTTTAGAGAAAAGAGGGGTAGGGGAAGGCGGGGGAGGAGGATGGAGAGGTGGGTGGCTTTTGGGTGTTGAACGAGGGGGGCAGGGAGGTGGATGGGTTTTTGGTGATGGGTTAGGGGAGGGGCAGGCTGAGTTGGGTGGTGGACGAGGGGGGAGTGGAGGTGGAGGGTTTCTTGGTGCTGAGTTAGGGGGGGGGAGGTGGGCTAAATGAGCAGGAGGGGGGGGTGGAATACTTATGGGGTTAGAGGAGGGACGGGTGGATTTTGTGGGAGAATTTGAGTTGGACGCCCTAGGTGGCTTTGGAGGTACGTATGGGGAGTAGTTTTGAATGTTAGATAGGACTCTTGATCTGGCTACAGTGGGTGTGAGAGGAATAGTCTTCATCGCCGATCTTATCATGCCTGCAGAGTGTTCCGGTAAATCCAGTAGTGAAGGCGGGGATAGAAAACAAAGGGAAAGGTCGTCCTCATTTTCCCTAGATGGAGTGGATGTAGCGGGGGGGACCCAAGCCGGGTCCATGGAAGGTGATGAGGGAGTCTTTGGTGGAGACAGAGGTGGTTGAGGAACCCCCAGTACAGGCCTGACTGTAGCCTGGAGTAATGGGGGAAGCTTCACGGGAGCTGTAGGTGGGGAAGGTGCTGCTGAAGATGACGGAGCAGCCACTGCTGCTGCTGAAGATGATGGAGCAGCCACTGCTGCTGCTGTATCCACTGCTGCTGGTGAAGATGATGGAGCAGCCACTGCTGCTGCTGAAGATGATGGAGCAGCCACTGCTGCGGCTGTATCCACTGCTGCTGCTGAAGATGATGGAGCAGCCACTGCTGCTGCTGTATCCACTGCTGCTGCTGAAGATGATGGAGCAGCCACTGCTGCGGCTGTATCCACTGCTGCTGGTGGTGCTGTATATGCTGATGGCGCTGATGAAGATGTGGCAGCTGCTGATGATGCTGGGGGTGGAGGCGTTGAGCTCTTTCGAAGCCGTGGAGGTGTTGAGTTCTTTTGGAACCTTGGAGGTGTTGAGTTCTTCTTGAATCGTGGAGGTGTGGAGTTCTTTTGGAGGCGGTGGGGGTGCAGAGACCTCGGGAGTCGGTGGAGATGGTCGTGATGTCTGTGCCCTTTGCTTCTTCTTTCTCCCTTTCAACGGCTGCACGCGCTGCGCAGGCTGAGGTCTTAGGGCAGATGCAAAGTTATCCATCAGCACTTTTACTCCGTAGTTGTTCAGATGTGGGCCTTTTTCTTCAAAAAGCTCGTGCCTATTCCAGAACAGATTAAAGTTTTCAATGAAGCCAAGTCCTCTGCGTGAACACTCATTGAGTAGGAATGTGTTTAGCTGATACAGACGGCTAAACTTCTCAATTTTTCCATCTATATTTGGCAGTGGGCCACTAAGAAAAATTGTTATGTCCATTTTCTTGAGGTCATCCAGTAACGGCGTTAAATCCATTCGTAACTTCTCGCTTGCCTTCTCATAGATATCTACCGCCCCCGTGTGGATCAATAATGTACGCACACCACTGTTTTCAGATAACACTTTAGGCAGGAGAGTTCTTATCTCAGCAACTTTAGCAGAGTGAACTGAGACAGTGAGCATGGACTCCATGTTTACATTTTTCACCGAGCCATCTCCGATAAGGACACAGTTTGTCCTTGGTGGAGGCGCTGCAGTTTTTAGCAGCTTTGTTGTAGAGACTACTGCTGATTCATCTTCCAAAAGTGGTGAAAAGCGGTTTCTTGTAATTAAAGATTTTTGCTGTGGCATTATGACACTCTTGTTATCATTAGCTTTGCCTTGTTTGGGCTTGGCACCATATGTGTTCCAACAATTGTCTCTGTTGATTTTGGGAAATGAAATAGCGTCATCATAACTTACGTTCTGTCCATGTGGTCCATTTCCTTTCACTGGTATTGTTGTGTTCAGCCCCAATTCTGATTCAAGCACAAACATTCGGTCTTGAAGAAGTTTTAGCTCCTGTTTGAGTGAAAAACAGCCGTCGCAAAGTTTTGTTCTTTCCCGTCCTCCCGAAATGCTGTAAGTTAGGTAAATTCCACAAGTCTTGTGTTGAAGTTTGTAAAAAGGAGTAATCCGTGTTTTGTTGAATAAAAATGTAAGCAAAAATGATTAAAGGAGATAAAAAAGCAGCAAGCGAGGAGCAGCACGAGAATGCGACTCTGTAGTCTCTGTTATGCAAACTAAAATCACAGACTCTACAGTCTATGGTGCTATGCGCATGATATTTGCTCAAGAATAGTTATACAAAAGCATAGTCTGAAGTAACATTGAAGTTGACACATATTTCTTTGCAGGTCCTGTGTACACTGAGATGGTCAACAACCTGCTCCGGCCGCTGGTGGAGGCTAAAGACTGCCAGCTCATCCGGCAGAATGTGTTCCACGCTCTGCCCAACACGGCAAACACGCTAATCGGCCGCGCCGCGCACATCGCTGTGCTGGACTCGGAGCTCTTCCTGGAGAAGTTCTTCTTAGTCGCGGGCCTCAACTACTTTAAATAGAACCACTTCAGACTGTTGCGAATGGATTTTAGAATAAGCCGTAAGTATAACAGGAAAGATTAGGACCAGAAATGACCGCAAATGGGCGTCTGACGTTGCGTAGCCATGCAAAACTCAACATCTAGTGCGAAAATGTTTTGTTGGCCTTATGAATATTATTATCTCTAGCATTTGACTCTGGATCCATTTGGGCTGGTTTTGACCCTTTACTCGTTGTAAATACACAAAGATATCTTTCACACTGAAGGATGTCTCAGAAATAGTGTGGTTTGGCCTCTAGAACCTGGGGCAAAAGAAAAGCATTTACTCCTTGATTGTATATTACTAACTTGTACAGTATAGATGTTCCTTTATACACAAAACTGGTCTGGACCAGTGTGAAACCATGAATCCTCTCTGCTCATGGTCTGGACAGTGTAAAACCATGAATCCACTCAGCTCTGGTCGGTTTCAGAGACACTCAGGACCGCTGTGTGGCAGAATCCAAACATTTCCTAAAGACATGCGACATCAGTGGAAGAAGGATTGTTGAAGTCATCGCACTAAAAGATAGATAAACTAACACACTAAAAGAGTAGTTATTTAGTTCTCCTTCTACACCAGACAAAATGGTAACAGAATCTTTCCACACAACCTTCAGCTCGATTAACCTCTTCGTTGTTTTACCTAAAGATGCTATAAAACCGATTTATTTTCAAATGAGTTCATCAAAATCTTATTACTACAAACAAAGTTTTTATTATAAATCCCGGTGTAAAAACCATTGATCAGCGTGGGATGAACACGGGGGGAGTAAAAAGTGCTGATAGAGACTTAGCGTGACGCCGCTCATCCTCCAATCACAGAACACAGGAGCTTTGCATTACAAACTGGCCACGCCTCCTCTAGGCACGCCCTCCTCTAGCCTCTACAACGCGCTGCTAAACACAGTACATGTAAGCATAAGTGGCTATAAACTCCTCTGGCTGTAACAGCAGACACAGCAAAAACAGCCCAAACCACACAACAGTGGAGGAAGAAGAAGAAGGAACAAAGCCAACAACAAGATCAAAGAAGAAAACAAGCCTGACAGAGCTAGCTTTACATCGTATCCTCAGGAGAGACTGGTCTGAGGGAGAGACCTGCGGGACCTATCGCCCTCGGACTATCTAACGCTCGCTATCTACGCCCGACTGTCGATACGCTCGGACTATCTACGCTCGGCGAACTATCTACGCTCGAACCATCTAGCCATCTACGCTCGGACCATCTACGGCTCGACCATCTACGCTCGGACCATCTACCGCTCGGACCATCCTACGGCTCGACCATCTCCGCTCGGACTATCTAACGCTCGGTACTATCTACGCTCAGGAAACTATGCTATACGCTCGGACTAACCTAACGCTCGGTACCATCTACCTCGGACAATCTCTGCTGGGACTATCTACGCTCAGACTATCTACCCTCGACTATCTACGCTCGGACCGTCTACGCTCGACATCTCTGCTGGGACTAACTACGCTCAGACTTATCTACCCTCGGACCTGTCTACGTCTCGGACTATCTGACCTGACCGTCTACGCTCGGACAATCACGCCTCGGACCATCCTAGGGACGCTCGGCACATCTACGCTCGAGACCATCTACGCTCGGACTATCTCTGCTGGACTATCTACGCCAGACTATCTAAACCCTCGACTATCTACCCGCTCGGACCTTCTAACGCTCGGACTATCTCTGCTGGACTATTACTCTCGGACATCTACCCTACGGACTGTCTACTGCTCGGACTATCTAACGCTCTATCACTATCACTGTAGATTCTAATTCCAATATTTTCTCCTCTGTTTTTATTTATTATAGGAAATTGAAAGATCAGAGCATGATTTATTTCAAGTATCGAGAGCAGTTCCTGAACTGTTAGAGCCTCAGGTGAGGGCTATTATGTAGATTTGGATTAGGTTTAAGTCAGTATAGAATCATACTAAAGTTAAAGAACATCATTTGGTTGGAAATTACCTATGCCAATTACAACATATTTTACTACTATAATGATGCAAAGTGTTGTCTGAAATCTTTTACTAAATATAGGACACTCTGAGAGATATAATGGAAATTCAAGAAGGAGATAAAGACAAGGACAAGACAGGACTCCAGGTGAGGTTAGGATTAAGCAGTTAAAATCTTAGACCCATCAACCAATTCTAGTTTCATGAGATATTTAGCGACTGGTGTACCATGCCTAGGTTTCATTTTATTCAATGTAGAATGTGTGTTTTTATTAATACCATAAAGGAAAGTCAGACAAACAGGGAATGTGCAGTGCTGGTAGAGGATGAGGAAGTGGCTGGACCTTCAGGGCTTCAGGTGAGGTTGAAAGTATTTATTTGGTTTTGTTGGTGGTAGAAGGCAACACACTATTGCAAATATAGTGTGTGATTACACAACAAATTCTGGGGGAGAAACTCTGGACCCCGTGTCAATGGGTGTAGACTCAGGTCGTAGTGAATGTCCCCACCAAGATTGGAACCAAACCTACACCATTGCCGTTAACACTGACAACTGCATATGCCGCTCTCAGGCTGCCATTCCTCTCTCTCCAGCAACACCCATCTGTGAAAAGCTGTAAGTCGGGGTCCTGAAGTGGGTCAGTCTGGAGGTCAGGTCGCACTTTCAGACTGTCTATTACCCTTACACTGCAGTCATGCGGCTCACCCTGTCTTGGCATGTGGTCAGCCATGTTAATGCCAAGAGGTGTAAAAGTTATGTGGGGCTGAGTGAGCACCTGTAAGAGCCGTGACTGTCTCAAAGGTGACATAGTGAAGGCAGCTGAGGACACATATGCACAAACGCCATGATCAGTCAATATTTCTAAAGCATGCCCCATGACTAAATGTGCTGTTTTCTTAATCAAATGTCCCACTCCTGCAGCATACCTTGAACAGTGTACCTGTCTAGCCTCGATTGAATCCAATGGAACGCTAATATACTGTAAGATTTTTCTCTGGCCCCTGCACTTTTGATATAACACCCCGTTGGCTACCTGAGACTGCACTGTGGCATCTAAGTAGAACGGGACAGAATAGTCTGGTGAAGCCAAATGAGCCGCAGAGGATAGGTCCTGTTTAAGTGAGATAAACTGTGCCTCGCTATCTCTGTCCCAATTCAGTTTAGCCCTTGTGTTTCTCATGCCATGTTCATTAACTAAAGCTCTTAAAGGTTTAGTTTTGTCTGCAAAATCTGCCACATAGTGTCTGCTCTAGCCTATCAGACCCAGGAAAGACAACATGTCCCCCACCATGGTGGGTCTGGGATATGACAAAATAGCATCTCTGTGCTCTGGAGACATATTTGTGGATCCTCCAGACACACTACGTCCCAGGAAGGTCACCGCAGGCCTGCAACATTGTAGCTTTTCCTTACTGACCTTAAATCCTTTTGAATGTAAGAAGATTATAGTGTCCCTGGTGGCTTGTAGACAGGCCTGCTCCGTTCTCGAGGCGAGGAGGAGATCGTCCACATACTGTAGGAGTACCACGCCCTCCGGAAGCACCAACTCTCTCAGCAGAGCGTTCAAAGTCTGATTAAAAAGGCCCGGGGAGCATTTATGTCCCTGGGGAAGACGGGTGTAACGCAGTTTTTGGCCCCTGTGAGTAAATGAGAAGAAATCTCTGCTTTCCTCTGCCAGGGGAATACAGAAAAATGCATTAGCCAAATCCATAACAGTAAAATACTGGAGGTCTGGTGACAGTGATGACAGCATTGTATACGGGTTTGGGACCGGGAGACACTGAGTTAATGTTAAATCATTTATTTTTCTCAAATCATGGACCATTCTATATTTATTCTGACCTGTTTTTGGCACAGCTAGAGTGGGCGTGTTCCACTCTGATTTTGATGGCTCGAGGACTCCCACTTTCGTAAGTCCCTCTATCACCTGTGAAATACCCTCGACAGCTTCTGGTTTGGCGGCATACTGCTTTATGCGAATCGGGCCTCCTGGCTTCATCTGTAAAGACACAGGAGGGAAAGAGGTGCACAACCCCACGTCCGTGGGACCTTGGGACCAAACTTCTGCAGGCACCTGTTTCAATATTTCATGAGTATCATCATGATCTGTCATGTGTCTACCATGATGTCTGGTCAATGTTTCGTGCTCCACTTCCCCTGTGTCTATCATATTTGCTTTTATCCTGTATGACTTATTTTCAATGCTGTACTGCACATGAGGGAGTTGGGTGTCAGACCAATCGTCAGCTTTTACCAGTCTTTTTACCATTGGACCTAAAGCTCTAGCCTCGTGACCAGGGTGTACAGCCAAGGTGATGTGTGGGACAGCAGAGGAAGACATGTAATACCACTCACACTGTTCAGGAAGCAGCCGTGTATGGGCCGCCACACCCTCAGGCCCAACATAAATGTAATCTGATTCTAATGTCCACCTATCACTTTCAATTTGTTTGAATTGTTCTCTGTACATTAAGTCTTGGTCTCTGTCATAGAATAATGTCAAGTGGGCAGGGTCCAGTGGGAGGTGGTAGGAGGCCAAAGAATTTATCCAGGGTTTCCACTTGAAGAAGACGGAATGCACACCATTATTGTCCGTGGACTTGTTTTCTGGGTCCAGTCTCACCCAGTATATGTCTGCATACTGGTCTGGCATCTCTTCTCTCAGAAGCCAGCAGGAGTCCATCGATACACCGGTCACACATCTGTAAATTTGCCCCCCTGGAAAAGTCACTTGTAGACCATCCGGTCCCATAGAATTGACGCATTGGTTTTAGTCAATAAGTCTCTTCCCAGCAGGTTGACAGGTGTTTTAGGAGCATTTACAAAAGAATGCCACAGTGTCTGTGTTCCAATTTGTGTCTTTAAACGTTTAGTGAGTGGCAGTACCTCAGGTGTCCCAGAAAATCCAACCAGGGTGATGTGCTCCTCAGAGAGCAGGACAGGGCGTATCTTTGTATTGATGGTAGAGTAGGTGGCGCCAGTGTCCACCAGGGCCATCAGGTTGTCGT